ATGCAGTGGCTGGCTTTGTTCGATGGCTGAGCTAGAAGCCGTATGTACGCCGAACTTCTTTCGCACCGTACGTAGCCAACCGCGCTAATCGGAGGTGCGGGGAAAAGGACCACACAAACTAAACACACCAAAAAAATCAGTTCTGAAGAAGTGAGTTTCCCCATCTAGATTTTAAAAGCGCATAGCTTCGGTGGCTTCCTGATACGTCACGTTAATCTTTTTTTCACAGCATAAATGAAGAAAAAAACCGCCCCCTTTATTATCCACGCCTAAATAGACGCTCGCCGATCCGTTCGTGTTTGCAAAAAAATGATGCAGTGCAAACGGTCCTCCGGTCGAAGTTGGCTTCGATGCTCGCGGCACGGTGCCCCCTTCATAAGTCGCAGCGCGAGAAACGATCATTTGTGACGCCCGCAAAGTTACTTGAAAGTGATAATGGCCACATTCGTTTGAGGTGAATAGGGCTAGCACAGCTGTACAAGGCCATTTTTAAAATCTTGATTGAAAACTCACTTCTTTAGAACTGTTTTTTGCGTGTTTAGTTTGTTAGCCCCCTCCCCCCTCCCCCACCGCACCTCTGAATAGCGCGGTTGGCTACGTACGGTGCGAAAGAAGTTCAACACACATTTGGCTTTTGGCTGGTCATCGTACAAAGACGGCGGTCACCGCATCGCGCGGCGCTTTCAGATGCGCTTCTGCGGCCGTCTGGAACGCTCTTCCTTCCTATGCTAGGAAGCCACTGGAGCTATGTATTTTAAAATCTAGATTGAAAACTCATTGCTTGAGAACTTTTTGTGTGTTTAGTTTGTTATCACCCCCGCCGCACCTCTGATTTAGCACTTGGCTACGTACGGTGCGAAATAATCTCAACATACATACAAAGAAAAGACACACAATGCATAATTGAAACGGTAACAAAAATTATAAGAAAAATAAATATTGAATCGAATTGTGACCCCCATCCCTGAATCGCGACAGCTCAATCGCCGGGGTGGCGAATCGTTTAAATGTATAATTAAACATCTTACTGACGTATAATAGTAGTGTCCAACATCCACACACACCGTGAATTCATTCTCAATGGAAGGCCTCTGTGTTGTGGCGTCAACATGTTAGCCTTTTCAAACCAATCCATAATGAATATGAAAACAAGACACACATTTAAGGTTTTTGTTTTTTTTACTGTTCTGCCTTACCAACACGAGAGAGAGGCTCGGTATTGAATCGAGAATATTAACTTCCATGGACAAATTGCATGTCACGGTGGAGTGATATTGTTATTTATGGCTGGAAGAATAAATGCATTTTGTTTTGCATGCTTGTGCCGTTTACCATAGCCAGGTGCAACAATTCGTCGATTAATATCGGTTCTTAAGCTCACAATGAACGCGTTGAATCGCTCGCTGAAGAGTCAGGTGGCTGTAGGTCCGTATACTTCGTCCGTTTGGGTTCCCGTGACCCCCCCGTGCTCGAGGTCAACTATCGTTCACCACAACGTAAACATAACAGAGGAGTGGGTTTCTTGGCTGGAATCGTGACCGCGCACGGGCGAATAACTTTGGAGCACGTGGCGTGGGGAGTGGGAGGAGGGCGTGACGATTTACACCTTGATTAAATATCCCAAACAATACACATTATTGCAAAATATAAAATCATATAATAGTAATAATGATTGGCAGCCCTTTGTCAATCCATCGCTGGATCGCGAGTAAATTGTGGTTTAGGGAGGCCTCCATCCAGCAGTGGATTGACCACGGCCGATGTTGGCAACGACATTTTCATCATATTTTTATGGATCACTTTCTATCTAAGCTTGAAAGCGTTAATGCATTAGTCCGGTCCGTCTGTGACCTGACGTCACGACACCTCTCCACGATCCGATATGAACCAGCTGTCGGTGTGAAGTTGTGTCGATCTGAACGTCACCTGAACTCAGTCGTCAATCTCCCCACACTGCCACTTCCATCACACGCGAGCAGCGTTCTTCATGGCAAGGCCACCGTGGGCCACTGACGGTCCCTGGTGGCCTTTAGTGCGGCCCCTGACGTGCAGGCAGCCGACAATACACAACAGATGTGAAAACACCCCCATCATCATCATCATCGTGCTGCTGTCAAGCACAGCAATGGTTTTAAATGTGTGACAGCCCTCGCACTGACGATGTCTTATCGGCGAAAGTGCCCCCCCTCTGAAAATTAGTGAAGAACACTGGACTTAGGCACCACGGTGGCGAGGCATTAACTACCTCGTCTGGTATACAGGGGGTCATGGATTCGATCCCGACCCCGACGCCTGCATATTTGGAGTTTGCGTGTCTCTCTCCACGTGGCAGCGTTGATTTTTCTCCAGGTCCTCCGATTTTTCCCCTCCACATTTAGAAACATGCGTTTAGAGTATTTGGCTGCTATAAATTTCCACATGATAAGCCACTTCTTTGAGCTATCATTTGTGGCCAGGTCGCTTCGGAAAACGAGCTATATAGTTCAGTGGGCCTTACATGGTAAAATAAAATAAAAATTGTTTTAAATAATGTTCACCAAAAAGGTAGCGATACCTTGTTTTTTAAAGATGGGGGACATACAGACATTCAGAAAGGGGAGGAGGGAGTAATGACCCGGTCAATGCAAAACAAACTTTAAAACAAATTCCAGACACTTACACAGAATGAGTAATGATACAGTCTGCGTTTGTATACAGTGCAATCTGCTCTAGCTCTCGCTCCCCTTTCCTGGGCAAATGTGTAATTGTTATCATTATCACCACCACGATGTAAAGGCTGCGATGCCCCATCAATAAGTTGCACAAATGCTCGCGTTTTGTAAAGCCTCCAACTACTGCAGACGGTTTGTATATCAATCAGATGAAGCTTGCAAATTATGAGGACGCCACCGCAGGTCTGCGGTTGTGATCGGTTATTACAACGTATGTTTAATATTGTAGAAAGATTTGAGACATTCGAACAAATATCTTTTGACTTGGCGAGATGTTAACTCACTCGTCTGGTATGCAGGAGGGCGTGGGTTCGACCATGACCTTGTTGTATAATTGGAGCGTGCGTGTCTTTCGCTGCTATGAAATTCCACGTGATAAGCCCACTTCGTTGAGCTGTCATTTGCGGCCAGGTCCCTTCTGAAAAAGAGCTTCACAGCTCAGTGGCCATTACCTGGTAAAACATTTTTTTAAGATATTTCGGAAGTTTAAATTTAGGTGGGGTGCTTGGCCCTCTACAATCCTCCTGATGCCACTGGGCTGGATCCACTCCCATGTCTTCCACTCCCTCGAGCACTCCACCCCCAACCACCCTCCCATCTCCCCAATCTCAGACAGGGCTTAGGAAGGAAACTCGTGTGAGCAGGGGTGTCCTCGTGTCCTGGACACAACCGGGCCAAGTGGCTTCCAGCCCCAGGCCTTGCGGCTCACAGGAAGTGGTACCGCGGCTCGGGTTCAAATGTCAAATGCACAACAGTGCTGCCTTCCTGTTGTTGTTGGAGGCGGGCAGGCGGGAGGGCAGCACTTGCCCCAACAAGCCTGTTAAGGCTATACGGGGTACCTTTGGATTTGTTATGGGGAGCGGTGGTGCAGTGGTTAGCGCGCTGCGTTTACGAACCCGGTTCATTTCAGGGCCAACACCGGTGACGAATATCTGAACCAGTGCTGGGGCTCCCCAAGGTCGACTCAGCCTTAAATGAGACAAATGCGGCCGAGCGTGGGGCTGGCCACCGAACCCCTCGATGGAGAGAGTATGAGAGAGCCTTCATAGGTGCTGCTCGCTAACAGCACTTGCCCCAAAAAGTATGTTAAGACTATCATCGGGGGATCTTCTGTTTTGAAGGGAAGTGATGTACGTACGCAAAGAGAGCTCACACGTGGCAAATGAGAATTATGAAATTGAGTGCGTAGTGCACTTTGTTTTTCCCTTGTAGTGAGCACGATGGGTCTTGTTTTGAGATTTCGTTTGAACTCGAGTTCAAGCCACCTTTGGAGTTTTGTGGCAAAGATCGATACTCGGTTGTTTTCAATTATAATGGGTAAAATGTGAATTATTTTTTACGCATTATTTTTAGTTATTGGGGTCCTGAATGCATTATTAATGTGTGTATGTTGAACTTCTTTTGCACCGTACGTAGTCAACCATGTTAATCGGAGGTGCAGGGAAAGCACAACAAACCAAACCCAAAAAGCAGTTCTTAAGAAATTCGTTTTCCAGCGAGTATATCCCTAAATGCATGTAAACAAACATCTGGAGCGAGATATGTTTCTAAACAAGAATGCTTTAAAATATTTATCCATCTTTTTGATCTTGCGATTTTTTTTAATGAAATTAACATCGGTAAATAAAAATGGAAAACAGGGGTTCTAGTAAAATGTAGTGCGCGTTTCGTTGTGCGTTCATTCGCAAATTGGCCGTGTCCTTGTTTTCCTTATGATGGGCGCCGCGGTGTTGAGATGTTAACTACCTCGTCTCTTATGATGGGCGCCGCGGTGTTGAGATGTTAACTACCTCGTCTGGTTTACAGGAGGTCGTGGGTACGATCCAGACCCTGACGACGCCTGTAGTATATTTGGAGTTTGCGCGTCTCTCTGCCCGTGGTCGCGTGGATTTTTCTCCGGATCCTCCGGTTTTTCCCTCCACGTTTAGAATCAACATCACGCGTGTTTAGAGAATGTGGCTGCTGTAAAGTTTCACGTGATAGGCCACATGGTTGAGCTATAATTTGTCGCTTCTGAAAAAGTGCCGCATAGCTCAGTGGGCCTTACCTGGTAAAATAATAAAAACAAATGTTTAGTTTAAACAGCTTCGTTTATAATGAGACGCGGCTGAACAGGTCCCGTGTGCTCATCGGGTTGGTGGTGATGTTGTTACACAGACCCTTGAGAGCGAGGAGGAAGAGTGACAACACCGACACGCAGAGACAGAGAGAGAGCGAGAGAGATACCAACACGAACGAGAGAAGAAAATTGGAGCGTGCAAGCGAGAAGTTGGGGTGGGTGGGTGGGGGGGGGGTCCGGTGGGTTGGGCTGTGGGGGTGCCGGTGGAGGGTGCAGGAGGGAGGAAGAGTTTCAGGCTGCCCTGGTGGAACATCTGAGTGAGCGAGACGATGGGGCGTAAGAAGATCCAAATCATGCGGATAGTGGACGAGAGGAACAGACAGGTACGTTGCACACACGCACACACGCACGCGCGCGCACGTTTACGTACGGCAATTGTTACAAAGACAAAGATCCCCCCGCCCCCGGGTAGCCTTAACAGACTGTTGGGGCAAGTGCTGTTGGCGAGCACCTACGAAGGCCAACGCGGCACACGAGTGGGTGGGGTGGCCAGCACCACGCCCCCGGCCGCCTTTGTCTCCAGGAGCACCAGGTGCTCGTTTGAGGCTGAGTCGACCTTGGGGAGGCCCAGGACCGATACAGATAACCGTCACTCAGGTCGCCGGGCTCGTAGCGCGGCGCGCTAATCGCGACACCGCCGCTCCCCACGTTACGCACAGCGATTGCTACGCACGCGCAGTCGCCGTCAAAGTTCTCCGTAGACAATTCACACGCACGCGCGCGCGCTTCGTGGGAAGTAGTTACCGTGTTCTCTGAACGATGCGATGCACTTCAACCACCGACACCCGCTCTGTAATTTAAGATCAACGTCGGGGGCTGTGCGTGGTGTGCCCGTGATGCTGTCCACCGCCTGGCCCTGCCGGCCTTCCAAGGTGCCACTCGCTAACAGCACTTGCCCCAACAGGCTGTTGGGGACTATACGGGGGATCTTTGTCTTTGTGTGAGACTAGATTTGCATAAACTTCATTGACACCTTGGTACACGGTTTTCAGTGCGTCTTTTTCGGCGCGTCTTATAATCCGGACAATACGGTAATATGCGCGTACCAGGAGGGTAACACAGATACACTGATCGTGTCTTTGTGGAGAAATGGCACAAACGATTTAAAATAATCCTTGATAAATTATTGTTAAACGTACTTTTTGTTTTGCCCAAGTATATCCCAGTTGTACTTTCGGCGTCGAGTAATGAATGAAGAATTCCCACTTGGAACTCCCGTAGCGAGCAGTGCATCACCCTGTGTGAGAGAACAGCCCTGCAGCGTGATACCACAGCTAGGGGCCATCCATTTAGTACGTAAGCATGGAGGGGGTGGTTAACCCAAATGCGTACGCTTGCGTATTGGGGGGGGTCTACTGACAATGTACGTACGCATAGGAAACGGGGGGGGGGGGGGGGTGAAGCCTCGATAATTTGTCTACATTGACCTTCAAATGAGACGCATTTAATTTTCTTCAGCTGTCAGACAACAAGTACTACCGCGAGAGGTAGGACTGTGGGAGAGGTGTCACTTGTGTGCCACCCCTGACTGCAGCTATCACGCAGCTCAGCAGTGAGTCTGATATAGTCTGGCGGCCTGCCCCACCGTGGATGATTCCACGTCCTTCAATCTGGCCTCACTGCAGACTGCCGCTGGCTCAAGGTTTAAGCTGCCGCGGTGCTCTCTGTTCGTGCTGCTGCTGCTGCCCCCCGGACTTGAGTACTGACACTGCTCTGTACGTCGGGCTACTGTTACAGCAGAGTTTTAATTGTGTGTTTAGCTGCCCCCCGGACTTGAGTACTAACACTGCTCTGTACATCGGGCTACTGTTACAGCAGATGTTCAGTCGACGCACTTCATATAGAGACTGGTTCACCGAGTTTTAATTGTGTGTTTAAGATCACAATAGACGTGTGTTTTTTAACAACCAGTCAGGATGGATAACACGGTCAAATGTAACTGTTTGTACAAAGCTGTGTGTAAAGCTCGGCCTGGCGTTTGGACCTAGTGGGTACTAGACAAACGTGTTAATGGTACGCAACTTAATTATTTAATGCAGCCGGCGGTGGACTATCTGTTCGCTAAAAACACGTTAATATTATTAATCCTTGATCGTTTCTGCGTGGATTAAATATCGGCCGTTCTATAGGATTCGGGGGGGGGGGTACGTTAAGCGTACGTACGCAGGTGGGGGGTGTGGGTGTAAAAAGTTCGCGTGCGTACAGGGAGGGGGGGAGTTAGTCAAGTTTTGACAGATTTTTGCGTACCCACTAAATGGATGGCCCCCTAGTGCACTCCCGTAGCGAGCAGTGCATCACCCTGTGCTAGAGGATACCCCTGCAGCGTGATACTACAGCTACTTCTGAAGTCACTTCAGCCGGCCCACCTTATCCACACTCGGGGCACTCCCCCTGCATGCCCTGCAAAGCGCGTTCGTCGCATGGCGGACGGACTAAACATTTTAAATCTCGGAGCTTTTCATAACAGATTAAAGTGACAAAAAAATGTTCCCTCTAAATTACTTAATAAATAACAATGCCGTTAAGTATCCAGGAAAACCTCACTGAAGCCAAAGCACGAATTGTTTTTTTTGTTTACAGGAAGGTGTCCCCCATTGGGGATGTTTGGCAAAATTCCAGTACCGTGGTGATTAGCAAGAGCCGGCGTGAAGAGCGTGACCGAGTAGCGCTGCAGTGCATGGAGCACGGCGCTATGAACTCGTCGGCCTGAGCGAGTATCAGTTTGATTCACTGAGATCTCGGCCCGCTTGCGTATCATCTCTCCCCCTCCGCACAGCCCGCAACGATGAATTGGACTGGGGGGGGGGAGCCCTCCCTGAAATTTCGTGCAGCATGGCCCGTGCCAACGCCGCCACTGCCTCGGTCTCCCCTGCCCAGCACTATTCCACCCTCCCACAGAATCCACCCACCCACCCGCCACCGCCACCACCACCACCCCCCACCTCTTAACTCCATTCCCGGCATCGCTCAGGCAGGCTCGCTCCCGCGAGATGTACAGTGGCGCTTCTTGCCATGTTTACGGCCCCGTTGCTGCCCGCGACTCTCTCCCGTTCGTTTCCATGCGAAGTCGTTCGGCGTCAGCCAGTCCAGGTCGCTGTTGCGCACGAGACCCATCGTGGTCTCGTGACGTCTCGCGTGGTCAAATAAATAAATAAATACACGTTGAACTTGAACATCCACTGCTGGATGAAAGCTTCGCCCAGGCGGCTGTCACCACCACTCGATATCCCCCGCTAGGATGCAATCCCACCAAGTGCAGACATTCGAACTGATCTCATGATTGTGATAATTGATGGTTCAAAATAATGTATTCTCATCATCTATAACTTGTGACGGTGATGCTGGTTTGTCGGATGTCATTGGTTGTGCCGTCTTCTTGTTAGCCACGAATGTTGCTTTGTTTAACCAGCTGAGACCTCGGGAGACCAGACTGAGTCTCGTTCACACGAACGACCAGGCTCACCCGGGTGACAAACTCCGAACATAAAATAAGTTGGTAGAGCAATGAAGCCAAGGTAAAGCAAAGCTGCGAAATTCACGATGAGAGAAATCAACGATAGTTTGCCGCTCTTGTCAATCGCATTGCCATTTATCACTAAGTTGTAATCGATGACAACTGCAGTCACTATGATCATCAATAGCATTGCTATTAGCAGCATCTGAGACAATGTCATCATCGTCAGTTGCGTCTTTACCGTTATCGCCATCTGTAACTTTGCCATTATCGTTGGCACCAACACCACTATCATTGCCAGAATTTGCAGCTCCATCGTTATCATCAGCTGCAGCAGCATCAGCAACATCATTATCAATATCATGAACTCATCAACAGCAGCTGCTGAACATTTATCAACATAATCGTTCCTTTTCACATCATCGTAAATGTTAGCATCATGATCAACAGCAGCAGCATCAGCTGCAACTTCATCATCAGCTTCAATTACAGTTTATCAGCAGAACTCGTATTTTGACTGGCAAGTCATGGAAGCTTGTGGTTGGGCGGTGTTGTGGTAACACGTGTCCCTTACAGCGCGAATTGCCTGACTCGATTTCATGTCTGTGTGGAGGTTGTATGTTCTCCTCCTGTTATGCATGACTTTCCTCCGGGATCCTCCGGTTTCCTCCCACAGCTAAAACATTAAAACCCCCCCCACAACAATCTAACTGGCATTGGCCAAACATCCCCAACACAAAAAAAATTTACCTGCAAATGTCTCTAATGGGACGACGCACAGCAGCAACATTGCCCCCGAGTACAAAACGCTTGGCAGGACCCTTCTGAAAAAAACGAGAGAGAGGCCGGAGATGCAGTGAAACTTTCCGGGGTAAACAAGCATAAGAGTAATAATCATAACAAATAATAATAATCAGCAGCAACAAATGGCAATCCATCTCGACCAGGGCCCAGAACGGGCAGGCGAACCGTCTCTTAGCGGCTCCGGTGTCGTCTGCGAGAAGAGCCGTGCACAGCTTTTTCTTTTGCATGGCTCCGAATGTAGGTGCAGATCAACAACTACAATTTCACGTCACTTCGTGCACGGCTGATGATGGGAGGTGGTGATGATTCAAGCTCCAATACTGCCCGTGCATTGGGGAGCAGAGAGGACTGTGCCCCCCGCAAATGGGTCGTCATTGATCCGACTAAGCTGCTAATTACGGGCACGGAATTAATTGAACAAATGAACGCGCAGCCGCAGATGCAGCAGCATTCCATTCTCTCTCCACTGCTGTACCGCGGATCGGCACAAAATAAATAAACGAGTGAATCGAACCGCACATTCATACACGTGTAGTGACTGACTCTCAGAGACACTAAGCATAGGAGGCACTCTGTTTATTAACAGCCTTAACAGTTCACACTTTAGTAACTACGGTTCCCAGTCAGGGCAGCTGGCAGACTGCCTTACTGACGACGCCGAGATGGTGAAGACTCCAGCAGCAGCACGACGGGGATCTCACTCCACACAACAGCCCCGAGCTCCCCTCCCGGGGCCCCTTTTATATTGTCAGCGTGGCCTGGCTCCGCCCCCGGCCACGCCCCCCTTCTGGAACCTACCAACGAGTTCTCCATGTGCCCCTTCTGTGACCTTTCCCTACATCCCTCTGGTCTATCACGTGGCCTGCTGTCAGTCAGGGCTGCTGTGGCTGCAGATCCCATTCCCTGCCAGCAGCCAGCGCTATGATGCTGCTACGTGACCGATTCTATGTCACTACACACGTACAAAGACAAATATCCCCCACATAGCCAATACAGGTTGTTGGGGAAAATGCTGTTAGCGCGCACCTATGAAGGCCAACACGGTGCACAAGGGGATAGCGGTGGCCAGCACCGCCTTTGGCAGCGGCCGCAGCCGCCCATTCTCTCTCCGCTGCTGCTGTTGCTGCTGCGCCGCAGGTGACGTTCACGAAGCGCAAGTTCGGGCTGATGAAGAAGGCGTACGAGCTGAGCGTGCTGTGCGACTGCGAGATCGCGCTGATCATCTTCAACAGCTCCAGCAAGCTCTTCCAGTACGCGAGCACCGACATGGACAAGGTGCTGCTCAAGTACACCGAGTACAGCGAGCCGCACGAGAGCCGCACCAACTCCGACATCGTGGAGGTACGTGGCGGCCTGCCCGCCCGGTCCCACCCGGGCGACCCTGCCCGGCTGTCGAATTGTAAATGTTGTCGATTTTACTCTCCAACACACTGGTGTGCTGAACCGGTAACTAATTTGCATGTTTCGCCAATTCGTTACTAATTGGCTGTGTCTGGTGGTGGCGGGTTTAACGACACATTTATATTTATGTAGCTAACCCAAAAAAAACTCTATTATGTGTGCGGGTTGTGTTTGTGGTGTTGGTCCGCTGATATAGTTAGCTGCACGAGGGCTCCATGGTGGCTAGGAGATGTTAACTACCTCGCCTGGTATACAGGGGGTCGTGGGTTCGATCCCGACCCTGACGTCTGCTGTATATTTTGAGTTTGCATGTTTCTCTCTCCCCGTGGTCCCGTGGATTTATCTCCGGGTCCTCTGATTTTTTCACCTCCACATTTAGAAACATGCGCCTCGAGTATTTGGCTGCTATAAATGTCCACGTGATAAGCCACTTTGTTGAGCTACCGCTTGTGGCCAGGTCGCTTCTGACAAAGAGCTGCATAGTTTAGTGGGCCTTGCCTGGTAAAATAAAAAATAACAGCGGAGTAATCGTGATAGAGACTAGAGGGGGTGACCCGTGGCTAGTAGCCACCCACAACCACAGGCATACTTGATGTGGTGTGCTGGGTGGGGAAATATTTTAACCGATGAGAATTGCGTGTGCCGTGCCGTTTTAATGTTTTCACTTAGATCGATTACCGGTTCATCGATGATCATTTATCAACCCGAGTGTGTGTGTGTGGGGAGCAGCAGTGTAGTCGTTAGCACATATTGTTCTACGAACCTGGCGCCACCAAAAACGGTGACGAATATTTGAACCGGTTCTTGACCCTCTCATAGGTTGACTCAGTCTTCGATTGAGCACCTGGTGCTGTGTTAAAAAAAAATCGGCACCTGCGGAGTCAAAGGTGGTGGTGGCCACCCATCCCGTTGTGCACTCTGATGGGCCTCATAGGTGTTCCCTAACAGCACTTGCCCCAACAGCTTGTACAGGCTATACGGATGGGGGGATATTTGTCTTTGTGCATGCGTGTGTAGTTCGATGGCCGCTCACGGGCCAACACCGGTGACGATTATCTGAACCAGTCATGGGCATCCCCGAGGTCGACTCAGCCTCAAATGAGTACCTGGTGCGGTGTGTAAACATCACAACTTGGGAAACAAAGGCGGCCAGGCGTGGTGCTGGCCGTCCGCCCGCTCGTGTTCCGTGCCAGCCTTCATAGGTGCTACTCACTAAGAGCACTTGCCCCAACGGTCTGGTTAAGGCTATTCAGGGGATCTTTGTCTTTTTGGTATATTATGTGTGTGCACGTGTGTACATGTATGTATGTATGTCAGAGGGCATCTATAGACAGCGCCACACGAAATGGGGGGGGGGGGGGGGCAAATAGGCCAATTTGCCGCCCCAGGATCGTCCTGGGGGGGCCTTCATATATGTGTATGAATATATGTATGTTGAACTTCTTTCGCACTGTACGTAGCCAACCGTGCTGATCAGAGGTGCGGGGGCGGGGAAGGACAACAATGTGTGTAGATATTGTATAGGTTTGTGGCAGTCTGTGCGTTTATACATATATCTATGGACGTATATGTGTGTGTGTGTGCGCATGTGTGCGTGTGTAGGAGCGGTAGTGTAGCGGTTAGCGTGCTGCGCTGTGAACCCGGATCCCCGAGTTCGATTCCCGCTCACGGCCAACACCAGTGACGATTATCTGAACCGGTCATGGGCCTCCCCTAGGTTGGCTCAGCCTCAAATGAGTACCTGGTGTAATGTGTAAACTTCGCCACTAGGGAGACGAAGGCGGCCGGGCGTAGTGTTGGCCACCCCACCCCCTCGTGTGCCGTACCGGCCTTCATAGGTGCTCGCTAACAGCACTTGCCCCAACAGTCTGTTGAAGTTATACGGGGTATCTGTTTTTTTAATCTTTGTATGAGTTGTGTGTAGTGGAATTGATTATTGTATACGTTTGTGCCAGTCTATGCGTTTATACATATGTCTACATACGTATATATGTGTGTGTGCATGCGTGCATGTGTGAGTTGTGTGTAGTTGGAATGTCCCTGCCAGGTTGTTCCCACAGCTGTCGGGAAAACGAGCCCCTTATTAGGAACGTGCTTGGCACACACACACACATGCACGCTCGCTCGCTCGCCCACGCGATACACATAACACTCATACGCACGTACGTGCAGACACACATTCACAATCAGAATCTTTATTTAGACTGCAGGAGGAATCCGATGAGCTGTGAAGCTCTCTTTTTTATCACAGATGTCCAGTTCGGGGCGGGTCAGAACGTTACAACAACAAAACATACAAAAACCACGATAGGAATGCAAAGTATAGAGAAAAAAGGTAAGCAAGTCACTAAAAATAAATATAAATTAAAGTACAGTATGTTTAACACGTAGGCTTTCGCGACCAATATCATCCATAATATAGGTTTTTTTGGGTTAGATCGCGTACATATAAATGAGTCATTAAAGCCGCCACCGAGATTATAAATATTGTGGATGTTGTGCTGTGCTAGTTTAGTGGGTTCACTGAGAGACACACACTAACTCAGGAGGCAACACGTTTATTCTATGGACCACAACGGGATAACTACGTAAACCGGGTCGGGACAGTCGGCACACTGCCTGACCCACAATGCCGAGCACGAAGACCGAAGACCCAGGGGAAGAGGCAGCACGGAGGACTCCATTCCAGCAGACAACCCTGACCCAGCCTCAGGACCTCCCTTTTATGCCCCCCAGCGTGGCCTGGCTCCGCCCTCGGCCACGTCCCCTTCTGGAACCTACCAGAAGGTTCTGGCCATACCCCACATGTCCCTTCTGTCACCTTTGGCCCACATCCTTACCCTGGCCTATCACGTGCCCTTGCCAGCTAACCGGGCTGCTACATTCTCAGATGCCCCTTCTCTGCCAGCCACCAGCACTACGCCCCTTAGGGACCCATTCCATGACATTGCTTGCCCTACTGGCAGAGAGGGCTACTCCACTCCCAGTTCCCCTCTCTATCAGTAACTGGCGCTAGGCACCGTAGTGACCCATTCTACATCACTACATCAACCCCCCCCCCCCCCCCCCTTATAAAACTCAGCCGTCCCGGCTGACCTCCATACCTAAAATAACAGGACAATCTACCTCCAATAATAAATTTCAATAATAATGATAAAAACAATAACAACCGTCGACAAGAACAATACGTACACTTACCGAATAAGATTTGAAAAACAGCGTGTCACAACCCATGAGCACAAGAAGGACCCAGTTCAACCGGTAACACAATCCGGCTCGTATTTGCGACCCCTGACAGAAGGCATTGGGATAAATAGGACGCTGGAGGTGGTTTATTTGAAATATATAGATTTCGAACGGGTCCTCATCACCGGACCCCCAGGTGGGGCAGGAACGGTTCCCCTGGGGGTCCCGGGGGAGACTTGAAGATGGCCCAACGGGCGCAGCCCCTCCAGGGAAGAAGGAAAAACAGGAGGAGAAGAAGTGGATGCTGGCCGCTCCGCTCTCCTCGTCTGGCTTCCGGTCGGTTCAACCGGTGGTTTCGCGGGTGTTACGTGCCAGGATCCTGTGGACGCGGAGGAGCGGAGGTCGGTAGGGTGGAAGATGACGCCGTCGTGGATAATTTCCCCTGGTCGGCGTGGCATCCCCTGGAGATGTGACCCGGCAGGCCGCAATTAGAACAGACGTCGGGAGCACTCCTTGGATGAAGAAGAGTCCCACCCCGTTGTTCTCGCTCCCCTCGCCGATCTGCATCGCCTTTCCCGCGAGAATCAACGTTGACCGATGCACAGACTTGGGAGGACTCTGTGCCTTCAGGCACCTCCGTATTTCCCGAAAGTCCTCTGCAAGCAGCCACCCCAACTCGCCGCCATACGTTAAAGTGTGCTTGAATGCATTGCGCAACCTTGAGTAAAGATAAGTCGTCCTCTTTTGTGGCGGGCATGAAAACATTCAATTCTTGGGCCAGCGTCAACATGCGCCCCAGCACCAAAGAGTCCAACCCTGCTTGCTCCGTCTTGGGGTAGGCTGCCTACGGCAGCGAAATCAACGCACTGTGGAAGGTGAGGGGCGAGGGAGCGTCTTCGCGTAGCTATACTTCTGCTGCACATTGGATGGCGGGTCGAAGATAGAGCCGCCATTTGGGTGAAGGCATGCGGCAGCGTCACTCTGTCTTTCGGCGGGATGGCATAAAATGCTGCCAAGGCGTCGTCGTCCAAGGTGGTCGGAAGCGCCTGTAGCGCCTCTACATCGGTCCATCCGGCCAGTTCGCAGGTGGTGGTAAAACGCCGCTGAAATGCCGCCCAATCACCCCCTGCGGCAGTAAATTCTCTCACAAACGGCAGCCGCTTCTTAAGGGATAGCACTTCCCTGCACGAGTTTTGTGGGAGATCCAATTTGGCGGGAGTCGTTCCGTGCCCAGCCGGCAAGATGGCGGCCGCCCGCGTGGGCTGGAGCTACCCCGCTTCCCACGCTCGTCAGTCAACAGCGGCGGGGCTGTCCAGACGCGGCTCTTGCACGCCAGTGTCTTCCTCCAGGTCCTCCATGTCCAACTCCGCCACCAATGCTGCTGCGGACAACAGGTCCGCGAGGCGGGCGCTGCGCATCCGGCGTGCTCGTCTCGACGACGGTAGCGCAGAGACGTCGGTTTCCTCCTGCTGTTCCGCCGGGAGAGCGGTCTCAGGAAAATTATCTGGGGTCGCAGTCCCTGGAGCTGTCTGGGGAATCACTTCACTGCTTTCTTCCTCGTCTGAAGACACCATGGCGAAGTTTTTTTTCTCGTGAGCATCGCACACCACTAGAAGTTTCTGCTAATTCTTTTAAGCACTTCTGACACCAGATATAGTGGATTGACTGAGAGACACACACTAACTCAGGAGGCAACACGTTTATTCTATGGACCACAATGGCATAACTATATAAACCGGGTCAGGACAGTCGGC